CGAGTGATGGTCTCGTTGTGGGCTTCCATCAGGCACCGTGCGAGTGATGGTCTCGTTGTGGGCTTCCATCAGGTGGTTCTTTGGTCCACCAGACTGAAGGTGGCACGTGAGACGTCGGCTTAATGTCGTAATCGTGAGCCCGATGTAGTCCATATTAGGGAGAAGTCTACAACCTTCTCTATTGCAAGAAAATTTATAGACTACATTGGTATCTCTGAAAACTCCCGTTTTTGCAGGGGTTATTGTTTATTATAATATTTTGTATTTTCTTGTTTTTATGATAGATCAGTAGTTTAGTTTTATTATTATTTACGTTCACGATGTTGTTGTGAACGATAGATTGAAGAAATCCGTTCATCCGTTTTATAACCGCTGGTCATTTGATTCTCGTAGTAGATGGTTGTGACGTTGACGTCAATTTCTGAATCATTGTTGAGTCTGTTTCGGCACGTTCTATCGTAATTAGAGCATAAAAGTTAATTTTCTGCACATTTGTGTCAAATTCAACATTGTTGCTAAATGTTGAAATCTCGAAATGAAATCGGGCGTCTGTTTACTTGAGTGCGATGCTGGAAGAAACTTTTGACGTCAATCGAATTTTGTCATATTTCGTTTAATGATTTATAATTAATTACTAAATATCTATGAAGGGGTATCAATCAGCTCAGTAATCCACTTTAACTTTCAAAAATTTAACATCAAAGTCAAAATTACGCTAAAACTTACGTTTTTTGGCAATTTTTAATGATTGCGTCATCCTAAAAATTGTTGGTTCTGAAATTCCTTTGAAGGGCTTTCATTTAGCAAGTGTCCACATGAAAAATCATAGACTGATAGCGAATTTTCAAAAAAGTATTGTTTGTCGATCCACCCCGCTGTTCATGCTTCATGTATGGGTGCGTCGGTTGCCAACTGCAGACATACTGTACAATAGCCATGCATTGCAGTCCAGCTTGCAAAATGATATTTAAATAGATAAATCTAATGAAAAATTTTAATACATGTATGTATATTGATAGCTCGTTAATGTTGAAAATATGCATGGACTTGATTTACATATTGTATACATGTATATAGGACAGCGCTGCGCGAAATGGCTGCTATATCCGTTGCGGAAACTGTTGCTATAATAACCGTTCTCGCAGCCTAGTTAGGCTTCACTCGCCAACATTATTGAATTTGCATTATATTGAAACAATAAAGAAAAGATAACTCTGGGGAATTAAATATTGCTTTCTTGCCATCTTTGATCCCCAAACTCATAGTTTTCGTTAACTATTTCCATAATATCGATGGATCTCGCGATTCGATATCTGCATACCTTCCGTGGTAACCGTTCATGAATCTCGAGATAAAATAGAGCTTTTCGGTGAGTTTTCTCCTCACATGTTATTCCCCACACCAGTAAAACTGCTTATCATCTTCAAGCAACTTGAACTTGAATTATTTTGCATTGTTTCCCGTCATATGGAGGTAATAATTGCCCGGTGTCGAGACCGCTGTTGAAGGGCAGCCACTGAAGTGGCAAATTGCCTAAAATTAGCCGTGACGCTAGTTAAAGAAGCACAAATGCAAAAGAAAATGCATTATTACTTCCGGGTTACATTGAACGGAATCTAGAAGCATCATCAATGGAACTCTGGCGATAAATGTCGCCTCCTATCTATGCATCCAAAATATGGATTGAATATCGTTATACGGCCAGAGCTGGACAGCGCTACTTTGAAATGTAGCGGCCGCTACCGCTACTGCTACATGCTCTAAATGTAGCGGGCGCTACCGCTACATGCTCTAAATGTAGCGGGCGCTACCGCTACATGCTCTAAATGTAGCGGGCGCTACCGCTATCGCGACAATTGCTTAAATGTAGAGCCGCTACCGCTACTGAAAATGTAGCGGCCGCTACATGTAGCGCGCCACTGCCCACCTCTGAATACGGCTGGTGACATATAGATAGATGTGAAAGAAAGTTAGAGGTCCAGCTTTAAACGAAATAATTTTATTACAAAAATCTCAGAACATTAAATATTTGTTTGCTCAATGGCATCCTGAGATTTAGTTTAAAAAATCTCATAAGGCTGAAAATATATTGAAATATCTATTTACAATAGTTTTGGCAATTACACCAATGATAGTTTATTTGCTAAGTATTCGCAGTGGAAGCGTAACTTTAACTATGATATTCTTCATTTTTGGCGCTAATGTTTACACAACATAAATTCAATATTTGGCATGAATACTGAAATATAATCAAGAAATTTTTGACCAATTTACAATTTACTCAAGTCCTTTTTTAATTAATCAAAATATTTGCTTTGGAATTCTTGATGCGAAATCTCATTAGGGCAAATTCACCTGCCAACAAACATGATTTTCTGTGGATAATTTTTAAATTTAATTCAGTAAATAATCATATCAGAACATTTTTTGTGTCAAGTTACGAAATTTACGCAGGTTTCTTGTCAGAGGCACCTGGGTATATGATCTCCGTGTTATATCCTCGGGAATATTTCACTAATCATCTCTCAGTAAAAGATCATGTCGATCTTTGCAGCCCTGGCAACTAGAGGTTGCGAGGCGATGGACAGGCCTGCACACGTTAGTCCGATGCCCATGGTCAAAAAAGTCAAGTAGTAACTGCCCGTTACATCAACCAAGTAACCTGAAAACATATGTGCCGTTGTAATGGAAAATCATTTATCAAACATTCTTAGTAAATGAACCCATTCAAAGAGCAGGAAGCAAACGTTTCTACGCCCTTCGTCTTCTGACTGTAAATGGTTTGAAAACTTTCGATTCAAATAATAAAAACAGAAACATTTTTCCGCACATAAAAAGTTAAAGGTACGGTCTAGTTCAATGGCATAAATATTTGTAACATACCCAGTAGTGGAGGGTACAAGAAGTTCAGGATTCCTTGGATCATACGAATGAATCCCCAAGAGGACGCCACGTTGTGTTCCCCGAACTGATCGATGAGAATGACGTTGATGTTGGCAAAGTAGCCAGAGCTTCCGAGCGAGAAAATGCTGAATGTGAACATCACCACCCAGAAGTTGGTAGACGCTGGGATCATCGCTGTACCAATGCCGGCCACAACCAGGCTGAGGGATTAGAAGTACGTTAGGGAAATAGAGTTTCAATGAAAGCCCAAATTCGGATGCATGTTTCAAATTCTGTGGCAGAATGAGATATTTTTATTGTTTCTAATTCTATGGAAGAACATTATTTTTCCCCGTTGAAAAATGTTACCCTGCTTATCTACGATGTCTAGCCCCAATATCTTTAGATAGAAAAACGAGGCCAATCTTTACTGATTAAGCACATGGCTGCAAAATTATTGTATCTATAAGGTTACCGCAGAGTTTCTTCTTAACATTTATCAAAGTATAACAGTAGAACATAGCGACATAAACTCGCTATAATACAGTTAATTGTAGAATATTTCGCCGTTACCACACAACGAAGCAGTGCGTCTTCTTGAAGATTTTTTTGTCGAGCATGTAGCCAAGAAGCAGTCGGGTGAAGCTGTCAAGCACCGCTTGGTACGCGAGTAAGATGGAGTTTTGTTCAAGTGAGAACCCGATGGCTTTGCCGTAAACGGCCACGAAATACTGGGCGTGAGGAAGAGCAGCTGAAAATCCCACTATCATGCCAATATGAGTCAAGTAAATAGGATTCAAAAATAGTTTCAAATCAAATTTTTTGGCCTTTATTGGCTTTTCTTGCGATAGTTTTGAATCGTCCATTGCAACTGCCCCATTTGAGATGCTTTTACTTGCCTTCTCCTTTCGCGATTTTTTGACTTCAGCCATTTTTACGTGCGTTGAAAATGGTCTAATTAAGAATACAAACACGGCAAGTTGCGCGAACAAGGCTGACAAGATGATGAAAGTGAGTTTAAGTCCAAAATATTCGAAGAATGGCAGCAAGAAGAACGGGAAGGCTGCGCCCCCAAGTGGATAGCCTGCTACGCGGATTGAATTTGCGAGCTCTTTTTTGTTACGGAAATATTCTGGCATGACGACAATCTGGCAGGTCTCCACGGCACACATGCCCGTACCTGTAATGTGTGAAGAAATGCATCACTTGACATTAAATAAAATGAACTAACATTGCGTGTTCGTTTCATTTCTAAGCAACTGGGAAGTAAATTTCTTCATCTAAGTTGGTTGGAGTCTAATTGTTTTGTTTAAGGTCCTTAGGCAGCGACAAGTCGACAACCATCCATAATGTTTATGGTAACTAATGATAAGTTATAATGTTAGATAAATGGCATATTAAACACATTTTAAACAACTACATGACACATTAGTAATCACCCATCATGGCCCCCAGCGTTATGGCGAGGGTGGCGACGGAGTTGCAGAAGAAGGAAGCAAACAGGCCGCCCGAGCAAAGGACAATCCCGAAGATCATGACCGGTCTCGCCCCGAATTGGACCGCGGCGGCCCCTACCACGGGTGCTGGTTGGGAGAATAAATTAAGTGCATGGATAATGGGTATTCATAGTGAATCTTTTGTGATGACAACGATTATCCCGTAATCGCAATGTATTGTCTTTGTACGCTCTATAGATGTCGACGACATAAAATTTGGTTGCAATTATAGTTCAATTTTTAAACCTGGAGCTCATAGAAGGAATAGTTATTATTTGCAAAATAAACTATAAAAGCGCATAAATCAGTGCTAAATTGAGACATGGTTACTTGATGTCGTCATAGCGCCCTGATTTCTAACCCTATCGAAATTTTTAGGGTAGTCAGCTTCTTTAGCTGGGCCAGCGCACAAATTAGCTACACTATAATGTCCGCTTTAATTAAGCTCTGGTCGCACAAGCGAAATAAGCGACCGATTAGAATCCGGTCATATACTGATTGAGCTTGGGGCGTTCGTGGGCGCGCGCATTTGGCACCTGATTGCTTCGGCATAGACACGGCCGAATGTGAAAAGTGCGTTTAATAATGACCCCTCCCTTCCCCCAAATTGGAGGGAAGGGAGGGGGCATTTGGTGATGGTCATGGTTCGCTCAACTACCAGCGTCTGACACGAGGCAGCCTGGCTAGCTGCTATTTTTGGTTATGTTACGCAGATTCGGCCCAAGGTGCAATCGACTCCCACAATAAGCACCTAATTTCCAGCCGAATAGGGTAGATGGCGATTTGCACGTGATTCGCCTCTACGCCGAGTCGATGGAACCCGGGACGACCGTGCATGGAATCTAAAATTCGACCTGATATATATGCACAATTTCTTCATTTTGCTTCAGTGAGTCAATTTTACAAAATAACAGTTACATATAATTGCGCACCCAAGCCGTTCAGGTACCATACTTTAAAAACTCGCTAAGTGAACGTAAGTAGTTACGCTCTATTTTCTTGTCTACGATTGGTAGATTTTGCTTTAAAGGCGTTAATGATTGGCTGATGAACTTACGATTTCTTAACTTTTTTTTAAAGTATAGTCCCTGGTATGTAATATTGTGCACGAATGAGCATATATCCTTTTTTTTGACGTACCCAAGCCGTTCCTACATCCGGAGAGAAGAGCGACCACGACACCTCCTGCAGTGGCAGACGTGTCGGGGTAGGCGATCTCGACGGCGTTGTAGATGACGCCGAAGCTCTTGATGTACCCGGCGGTGACGACGTTCGACAGGAACATCACAGCCACCACCAGCCATGCGTACCTGACCATCAACGTAAGCTGTATTTATGAGCTATTTATTCGTGACCCGGCGGTGACGACGTTCGACAGGAACATACAGCCATGCGTACCTGGCCATCAACGTAAACTGTATTTATGAGCTATTTATTCGTGACCCGGCGGTGACGACGTTCGACAGGAACATCACTGCCAGCACCAGCCATGCGTACCTGACCATCAACGTAAGCTGTATTTATGAGCTATTTATTCGTGAGGTATGTATTAAACTATAAGCGATTTATTTCATTATTTATGAGTTATTTTTTTATTCATCCCTTTCTTTACTCTTGGTTAATGAGTTAGTATTTATTTATGATGGGTTGGGTTACTAGACTTTACTGTGATAACAGTCATCAGATAATTATCTATCTGTAACCACTATAAATGGAAGCAGGTCGCTCGTATCATTTAGCTCGATTTCGAAAATTTGCACACTTTAACCGTTGAACAAACTTTTTTAAGCTGAAGGCCCTCTTAAAGTTCAGCACGTGATAACGCTTTAAGTTTCACTCTCGAGCGATTTAAATCCATGTTAGTGAGTGTAAAACTTTTCTTTGCATTTTAAAAGCATGTCTGATTCTCGCTTATGTTTGAAAATTCTTGGCAAATGCAGCACGTATCCAGTTTTGTGGGTTTGTATATAAGTGATGAGAATCTATTCACCCTGTCATTTCGGGAAAACTAAATGAACATTTTGTAATCACTGAGATATAATACTCTGTCATCACCAGCAGGACACGGTATAGGATCTAGGAGACGATTTAGGATCTAGTTCAATTACGGCCATCCGCTTCTCTCATAATAACGATAATTGACAACAGAGTGAAAGAAAATTGAAAGCATGCAGCATGTTTTAACATTTTTCTTTTGGTACTGGAACACTGAACTCGTATCGACCAATAGAGAAAAAATGAGAGCTCGTTAACGAATCCTGTCGGCAGCGACCGCGCTCGCTTTGCTGCCATCATTACAAGAGAATTAACAGGATGTGATTGTCAAGTTAACAAGATAAGATTGGAAGGTTTTCCGAAAAATTAATATGCCAAATTGTTTCAACAAACACAGCAACCTTACATGATGGAACTATTGATGAACAGACCTTACATGATGGAACAGACCTTACATGATGGAACTATTGTCACCAAAAACCTTTGCTGAATCGTGCACACTTTTTTGTTTATTAAAAAACAGAAACCAGTTCCTTACTGGCTGTATCCTGAGCCAGTGCTTTCAGTATTAGTTAACGCAGATCAATTTTCTTGCAGCATTCTGTGCTATGGAATCTGACAGTATGTATCCTTTATACTGAATAGAATTACGTATTATATGAATGAAAAAGTTAATTTGCATCTGCTAAGACATTTTTTGGGGAAGCACATCATAAGAGAGTCAGAGCATGATTCAAATTTAGTTAAAGAATCTCAACTTGAAAATGCATCTTATTGTACCGCGTTAACTGTTTTTTTTTTATTTTCACTGCAATTTATTGGATATTATTTAGATTAAACATTCGTATATACATTCGTTTTTATACTTCTGAACTTGGTTCCCCATTATCATTGCAAACCAGTCTTCAAGCTAGAAGGATCAGGTCTAACTGGCAGTGCCAGGAGCAGTCATTTTTTAGCGCATTTTCTCATTTATGGAAAAAATTCTCTATTGTGCTCGCCATGTCCGTCTGTCTGTCTGTCCGTCCGTCCGTGACCTCAAGTTTTCGTGGACGAGAAAATGCGCTCTCTGCCACTCACTGCTGTGAGTACTGAGTTACATTTTTGTAGGCTTTTACGCTTCTTAACTTGAACATTTTTTAGAAATTCCGTTTCCAGGCTATTTAATTTAAAGTTGATGTGGGGGCATGTGAAGCACTGGTTTATTAGCATAAACTGATAAAAATCTCACACTGTTTGAATAAATTTGAGATGAAGAGAAGCGTTTGTAAAATAAACGATAATTTGAGGCAATGCTACAATTAAAAAAGTTAGGAGTATTTCAAGATGATGAAAACTGTTAACGTTATTAAGACAAGGTTTCCGTTTGAAAATATGCAGCGATTCAAAAATCCTTTAATGCGAAAGTGCAGAAGTGGAAACGAGTATTTTGAAATCGCTTCTCCTTAGTAATTGATCTAAGTAATAGAATAGACCTAAATTTCCTTAGTAATAGATCTAAGTAATAGAATAGATCTAAATTTCCATAGTAATAGATCTAAGTAATAGAATAGATCTAAATTTCCTTAGTAATAGAAGATCTTGAAATCACTTTCCTTCAGTAATATCAACCTCATTAGGATTAATTGGATGCATTTAATCGTACCTGCTTACCCAGTGTCCTTTAGCTCGTCGGCGGTGGTCGTGGGGCGAGGCTGCTGGGGCTTCACTTCAGAGAGTACGGTTTCCCCACCAATGCAGGGTTTTTTCTTCCCTTCTATTGTTTCCTCTTCAAAAGCTTTATTATCTACACCCAGGAAATTCGACTTGGTCTCCATTGTATTAGATAGTCTTTTTTTCACTCGAAAAAATTACCGACTTCCACTAACTTTCAAGCTGTATGGTAGCATTCTAGAACGAGAGAGATGATTTTTGTCTTTAATACCATGGTAAAGCATTAATACGGAAACATAAAATTTGTAATTAATGAGACCTGCAATTTCTTTGGACCGATCGAGAAGATGATATCAGAATTTGTCCGCAGCTGAGCTCGGTTGTCTTGCATGATCCTCACTGAAAAAAAACTCTCGCTTGCCGATAAATCAACAAAATTTATTAGTTTTACCGCACTATTCCCTAACCCCTACATTCAGGATCTTTATTTTTGTCATTTTTTGCTGTTACAATCACTTAGACGGAAATTTTAAGTCAAATAATCAAGCCATATTTACTAGACTTGATTGCATCAAAATAGATAATGTCAAATTTTCCTTACTAAAAGTCTATAGCCAAAAATAAGTTCTGGTCTTATTCCATATTCTGAATACGTTTCCGGATACGGGTGTGACAAAACTGAAAATTATCTGAGACGTTGCTATCATTACATATGAATTAAATCGCAGAAATCTGTCAAATCGATGGTACTTCTATGCTTCAAAGACAATCAATTTCCAACAGAAACAAATTTTAAATTGCTGATGTGTTCATGGCCAGGGTCATTTTTTGCCGGCTTAGCTTTCGAACACGCTTTTATTTGCCATTTAATCTAAAGGCTTGTCATCAGTTAATTAACCAAAGAAGGAACTTATCACGACCACCTTATTACATAACGCGCACAACATGCAGGGCTGGGACCTATCACGACCACCTTATTACATAACGCGCACAACATGCAGGGACCCTGCATGTTGTGCGCGTTATGTAATAAGGTGGTCGTGATAGGTCCCAGCCCTGCATGTTGTGCGCATTATGTAACACGTTAAGCGGCATGCCCGGCAACACGTATGGTCGCTAAGGTTGTTGGGCCTGTGGAGAAATAATTGAACATTAACCGAGGGCAACAATTTGCGTATAGGCCGAAGACAAATATATAAAGAGACAGGGTTCAAACCTTCATATACCACCAAACCTTTGCATACCTTCCCTGTATACGCATGCTGTGTGCGCAGGGGGCTATAAAACTGGGCTTAAAAGGTTACTGCCCGTTCAAAATGTAAGGTTAACAGCTGTCACGGTAACATCGTTACGTACGCACAGACTACATGCAAGGTCGACAACTGTCACGGTAACATCGTTACGTAACGTGTAGAAGTCGACAACTGTCACGATAACATCGTTACGTAACGTGTAGAAGTCGACAACTGTCACGGTAACATCGTTACGTAACGTGTAGAAGTCGACAACTGTCACGGTAACATCGTTACGTAACGTTCAGTCGACAACTGTCACTGTAACATCGTTACGTCACGCGAGACTATATGCTAGTCCGCCAACTGTAAGACCGGTTAAGATGGATCGTCGAAAGTAAGCATTTTGTTCCGTGACGAGTTTTGCTATCATTAGATGTGAAGTTGTTGGTTATAGTGTAGTTGTTGATGCAGATGTAGATTATCTATGATAAAACCCATGTTGAAGATTCTGTTAGGTGTTAGGTGATGAACAATTACTGCGCAGTTTGAAACTTTTTTAAAGATAATTTTTTGTAGGTACATGACAATCAAGAACACGTCTAGCAGCTCACAGATTACCTTGGACGTTTATAGCATGTTTTTGATGAACAACTTTTTATTCTGATAGTTTGCTGCAGATTTTTTAACTCGGCAATTAGTCGTTTTATTGTTGCATAACATGGTGAATCTCAGTAATAGCTTATTACTTTAAAGCCATTTCCACTTGACCTTATAATCTGCATTAAATAACCTGACTATGTTTTGTACAAAATTTATTTGTGTAGTCAATGCAATTCAAGTTCTCTAACTTCATTGTAGAAAAAATACTGATGAAGATAAATGCCAAGCTTCATGCTATGGTATCTTGGAGGAACAGGAAACGATTCATGTCTGGGGTCTCATAAAGTTCAAACGTAAAGTCAAAGTTACTGAATTCGAATTTGGTCTTCAAACTGTCAGCGTTTGTGCTAATTAAGTGATAAGAAGCGTGCAACTCAGTTTCTCTCAGTTGCTTCGGTCACTTCCTGCTGTCAAATTATTTTGAACGAGATTTTTCCGCCCGTATAGCAAGCGTACGTAAACCTGAGCCAGCAACAGTGTACAGTTCATGACAAGCTTCGAAAGATTCGCCCAGTCCAGCGTTTGTTCACGTCAGATTCATTGACAATTCATATGAATTTATGATAATTGATTTTTGCTGTGCTGTAATATGATGTTTAACCCTGGATGAGCTAATACCGCCTACTGACAGTTACTAAGCTAATAGCTAGCTAATTGGCCTTAGATATTTTCTAAGAGCGATGCAGAAATTGAAATTGCAGAAAAGAAAAAAGTTATTTGTCTTTAATTTAAGTACTTTTTTCAGACTTAAGTAAATTCAATCTTTAATTTACTTACGTTTTTTCAGGCTTAAGTAAATCCAAATTATTTATTGCTGCATCGTTAATTCTAAAACAAAATTAGAAATGAAATGGTATGAATCGGGTCATTATTTGCCGCCTCTAATGATGAAAGTCGAATAAAACCATGCCTATAGATATGAACGTACACTTGTTGCTCCGTTTTAGAAATCTTTTAATTCTATCTTTTCCTTTAGAGCAGTTTTTCCATTATATTTATTTGTATGATTACATTCAGGTAGTTACAACCATGTTTCTATACGAGTTGCACATGTCAGCGAATTTTTTCGTCAATATCCAAGAAAGAATAAACATTGTTCGACCAAAGTTTCAACAAGTAGAGTCGAGTGTTCTCTCATGATTTAATCTTATTCCGAAGATATACTCACTAAAATATTTCAGGCACATTACAATTATGAAAAAGTGCACAAAATTACGTATAACTCACGCGTCGTTCATCGCAACGTAGTCCCGTCAAGCATTAACAATCTACTGCTACTCTTTACTGTCGAACTTAGGAGAGGCCGAAAATTGAGTTTTTGCAACAAACATCCTATTTTGATGAAATCATAAATGGAAAATTTGATAATATTGTGCTAGAATTTTATAGAAATTCTACCTCTGACAAACAATGATACGAAGTTAAGACCGACCACTTTTTTCCAACAGGACAATGCACGACTAAAACTAGATTATTTACAAGAAAACTGGTTTCTGAGAATGCAACTGGTTGGGCCTCACGAGTTACCAAGGATCCTGGTAAGAATACCATAAGAAGCTGCACATCAGCGATAATGTGCATGAATATCACGTGATGCCCAGCAGGCATCACAGTATCCACTACAGCAGCCATGTTTTTTTACCAACTCAAGCCATTTGCACGAAAACTGTCAACCCAATGAGGTGGCCCGTTGGCTCGTAAAAAAATATATAACTCAGTACTCACTGCAGTGAGTGACAGAGAGCGCATTTTCTCGTCGATGAAAACTTGAGGTCACGGACGGACGGACAGACAGACAGACGGACGGACGGACATGACGAGCACAATAGTGCATTTTTTCCATAAATGAGAAAATGCGCTAAAAATAAACTTCAGTAAGTTGGACACAAATTCAGAACAGTAAATTCATTAACTGGTTAATTAAGAAAAAATTAAACCGAGAACTTGCTAATATTTCAGCAAAAAAATAAGTTGATAAAAAAATTTTCCAGGCAAAGTAGTCTTGCTCTTGAACATTTCATTCTCGGGTACAGTCAACCTTAACATAAATAATTTATTGATCGCATAACTAATAACAGTTGATCACGTGTTCAATCCAGCATCTATGAACCACCAACTTAAATAATATTTTTTGGTACGTTTTTTTTACATATCTTCATAAATTTCTACGATAAATTATTGTTTTTATGAAAATCTCAAGCACCGGCTATTGTGCTCACAATCTAGTTCAATTATTTTGGCCACAAAAAACATGCAGGGAGGTTTCCACGCTTTTCTTAAAAAAAGTTTTGTTATTAAGATCACATATGATAATTTTATCGCTATTTATTAAGCACCTCGCGCCTCTGCACTTGTGAATATGAAGATTCTGGTCGCCGTAACATTATTTGTTCACTTGTAAATATGAAGCTTCGGGTCACCGTAACATTATTTGTTCACTTGTAAATATGAAGCTTCGGGTCGCCGTAACATTATTTGTTCACTTGTAAATATGAAGCTTCGGGTCACCGTAACATTATTTGTTCACTCAGTATCACGAATCCAAACGCACCCACTCTGAGCCACGTGACGTCATCATCTCCAGAAGATATCCATCCCAGAACCTTTTCCATGTCTAAACTCGTTAACTTCAGCATCGAGAAAAAAGAAACCAATTTAAAATTTACGTCGACTACCAGCTCCGTTTAAAAAAATTTAACAAGGGCAATAGTACAAAAAATATAACTCAGTACTCACTGCAGTGAGTGACAGAGAGCGCATTTTCTCGTCGATGAAAACGTGAAGTCACGGACGGACGGACAGACGGACGGACAGACAGACAGACGGACATGGCGCGCACAATAGTGCATTTTTCCATAAATGAGAAAATGCGCTAAAAAGGCACCTTGATCTAAGACCAATAATATGTGAGCTATCATCAACAACGGTAAGCGATTGAAATTTTACTTACAGAAGAGTTCACTTATAAGTAATGTGATCTCCCATTGCACAGATATTATATTGACTCAACCGATCATGAATATAAGTTTCTCGTCGTGATTTTGAACTTTAAACGACCCGTCAATATATATTCTAAGCTTTAATACCGGAGCACCAACTACGAGCGCTAGCTGTCTTACGCAATTCTTAAGCAAACATTCAGAAATTATTTAAATTTAGTCACTATCCATAGTGAAACATGATATTTAAACGCGTAAGAACGATATTTATAATTTTAATTGATCGTTGCTCGATTTACTTATTCAGGGAAGATACTTCTTTTCTTCTAAATTGCCAGAATTACTTTTTTGAGGTTCTGCGATCTATTAGCGGTTTCAGCGTTTATTAGGCCGGAGGCCTGTCGC